AAGATTCGCCGCCATGGAAACACAAATGGGGCAATTCTATTCTGCACTACCGGGTTGGTAGGAGTCAAAATGAACTTGAGGTCAGGGAGCGTTGGTATGTGTGCTCACATGGAACGATTGCAAATCAACAAAGGGCTACTGCAGGGTAAACATCAGGAAGTGTGCAGCACGACTGTATTCTTCACCACATCTAATCCCTTTGATGAGAAAATAAAATCTGAAAAGCTGAATGCTCAATGAAGAATGTGCATCAGGACCCAGAAAGACTCATTAACAAACTCTGGTCTCGAGATGACACAACCTTGTCTGTTGAAAGCCAGAAGATTTGAAGTACTTAACTGAGGAAACGCAAGCTCTACATCCTTTCGTATGGATTACATCTCAACACGAAAAACAACCAACAACCCAACACACCAAAACCCTCCGACGTGGGCTGATCGGCAATATCATGCGGGACAAAGACAAGAGGGATTTCATTTTACTTGGATCCACAATCAGCACCCATGGAAGCAGAAGTCAAGAACTCAAACTTATTGCATTGGTCAAATTGCTGCACAAGACCTATTAAAAAGCAAAAATGCAACTTTGAAAAGTAAGGTGTGCCTGACCCAAGCCATGGTATTTTCAATTGTCCCACACAATGCCTGGACAATGAATAAGGAAGTTTGAAAATGAACCGATGCCGTTGAACTATGGTGTTGCTGAAGAATATTGAACGTGTTGTAGACTGAGTCCTGGTCCTGTAGTGGTTACGTGTTAGGCTGATAACCAGAGTCAGCAGTTCAAAACCACCAGCTACTCCAAAGGAACAAGACAGGGCTTGCTATCCCTAGAAAGAGTCGCAGTCTCAGAAATCCGTAGGTTAGTTCTGTGCTGTCCTGTAGGATCCCATGAGTCGGAATGAAGTCCAGGGGAGTGAGTGTGGTTTTTTAGTTTGCTACACTGATAGAAGAACAAACAAATATGTCTCGGAAAAAGTACAACCAGAATATTCCTCAGAAGCAAGGAGGCTGAGTCTTCACCTCACATACTAAAGACATGTTGTCAGAACAAGGCAGGACATCATGCTTGATAAAACAGAAGGTCGACAAAAAAAGAGGAAAATCCTCCGAGCTGGGTTGATACGGTGGCTGGCTACAACGATGGGCTCAAACACAGCAATGATTGGGGAAGAAAGAGAACCAGAAAGGGTTTCTGCTGTACGTTACTTTACTATGAGTCAGAACCAATTAGATGGCA